AACTCAAAAAAATAAAAAAAACAAAAAACTCTTTTAAACTGAACGGTTAGTTCAGTGTCCGGTAGGACCTTCAGGTTATCCTGAAGAATAATGTATAATGCATTCACCAAATGGTGCAAAATAAAATAGTTTTTCTGATATGTGCTGTCTCTTTCTCTCTACTCTTTGTCAAAAACCAAATGTTTCTGATTATCTTCATAATCAATGGATTAGCTGGATTAACTCTCGCCCAACAACAATTTAACAACCATGATAACTTCAAAGTCATGATACAGTTCAAAATTCAATTGTTAATCAATGAACACAATTAAGTCTCTATTCCCTGAAATTATGTTCACTTTCATCTTCTCAACTCTGTTCTTATCTTGTTAATTAACAATTAACTGTTTGAATCATGTAAAAATTTAATTGTTTACAATTTTTGCTTCATAACCAATTGAAAAGTGATTGATAAATTAACCAATTTTTTAGCAATTATCAGTGGCACAGGTAAAAAGGTTATGATCATGACTAAAATCAATATTATTTATCTCTTTCTTTTCGGTCGACATTGGCTCGTCTAATAATAACACATCGGAATCACCATCTAAATTGAGAGTTGAAATATCATCAACTTCCGTCATATTTAAACAAGATGGAGATGGACACTTGGGTATATAAGGTTGAAGGATAAGATAATCCGGAAGTAGGAAAGTAAAAAGAAACCAGAAATTTCGAAAAACCAATTAACTACCAAAGGTAAAGTTAAAACAACAAAGAACCAAAATTAATCCCTTAAATAGTAAACAAAAGTGACAAGAATTTCTGTTTATATGATAGTTCGATTTTCGCCCATAGGATTCGCTTCAGTCAAATTCGAAATTTTTTGTTTACTTTAAATTAATTCTTAATTAATTTGTTTCTCTTTTTTTTAATTTCGGTTTTTTTTATCTTTTAATTATCTTTAATTCCATTGAAAATTTATTTACCTGCTTCAGAGTGTCAGATGTTTATCTTCATGTTGATCAGCTAATCTTTAGAAATGAGAGAGGAGAAAAACAATTCGTCCTCTTTTCCAACTTGTTGTGTTACTTTGGGTCAACACTCAAGGAATTAAATGTTTGTATTAATTTTTTAGATTCTGTTTTTATTAATTAATCATTTTTTCGCCTTTCTCTCTAATTAATTGTTATTCTATTCACCCTGAATGTGTGTATATATGTTGATATTCATCTCTTTGTTTTATTCTGTCATTGAATCGAGAGAGAAGTCTGGAAATGATTATATTACATGTTACTGTTTTACTCATTAATTAGATTGGTAATTGTTGATATTGACCTTGATTAATGGTGAAACTCAATGATTATATCATTTGCTTTTTACTTTAGGTTATTAGAGTTACAATAATATATCTAATTGTTTATATTAATAGTTATTACATTTCCTATTTTCTATTTCCATTTTCAATTGATCAATTAAGAGCTTTGATTTTAACCATCACCATAACAGATTATTACTATTGTTGATTTGAGATTTTCTGATTGATTTAAATTTCTAATTTAATTAATTTGTTTTCTTTTTTTCTTATTGCAGATTCATTGTTGTAGAACGAAGTAAAATCTATGTATACTCATTCCCTAATAATCCTAAAAAACTGTTCGTTGTAGAGACTGGTGATAATCCTCGAGGTCTATGTGAGGTGAGTCCATATACGACGAGTGAACGACAAGTGATGGTATTTCCTGGTCATAAAACGGGCTCTTTACAAGTGATGGACTTCAATATGGCCTCTCCTGGAGCATCTTCTTCCCCAGTAAATATACTTGCCCACCAAGGAGCCATTGCATGTATAGCATTGAACAATCAAGGAACCATGGTGGCCACTGCCTCATTAAAGGGAACCCTAATCAGAGTTTATGAAACATCGAGAAAATTAAGAGATTAAAGATAATCGTAAATCAGCCTTCTCGAACTTCGGTCGACTTGTTGGTCAATACATCGAAACAAAATGGATGCTTACTTAATTCACAGTTCTAGACGATTGTGACTCTATTTCATGATATGGTCCAAGAAATAATGTCTATGGTATTGAAGAGTTAATTGTTACCTTGCCAGTTTAATCAGTTTAAACTTAATAAGTTTTCTTCACTAGTATTGAGTTTCAAATTTTTTCTCTTATGTTACAATTAGATATCGATTTTCTGTTTTTTTATCACAATTCTTTTATTTCTATCTCGAGTTTCTTTTCCTTATTTATTTCTCTCTCTTGTCAATCAATCGTTAGTTTAAATCGTATTTCCGGATCCCATTATCATCTTGATTTTCCCTTTTCTGATTAGTTAATTAATCATTATTCGAATCAACCAAGACACTTCTTGATAAACTGTTAATCACTTGAGATTAAGCGTTATTAGAATAACTGACAAAATATCGAAAATTAATTTGTGTTATTGAGATAGTTTTTCATTTTTCTAACGCAATTTGTATGAATATTATTCACATTTATTTGTATCATGAGTTTCACCATGAAATTAAATTTCCTCTTAAATGAGAAATTTAATCGTTTCTGATTATCCTTGATCTTATTGACGAAAATCATAGTTTTTTTAATTGAGGAAAAAGATTGCGAATGATTTTGTTACTTAATTAGTTTTATTGATCTTCTTTTTACTAATTATTCTTACTTTCGTTCTCTCTCTCTCAATTCTGATTAATTGTTATTTGTTTTCTCTTCCAACAATCAGCTGCCTGGAAAATTGGTCCATTCCATTGGTACTCATTTAATTCTGATGGTGTTTGTATACGAGAAGATTACGAAAGATTCATTGAAGTTCCAATTGAAACAAGTGACGATTCTGAAGGACATTTAACTTATTTGATTAGTCATTTGCAGTTCTAAATTCTGTCAATCAATCAACCCAATACTTTAATTGAATTAATCCAATTTGTTTACACCATCACGACAATTTCATCTTAATCATCATTCCTTTTTTTAATCTTACAATCAACCAGGAAGGATGGAGAAACATATCACAATAATAATAGACTTTTCACCCTCTTAAATGGTGTCATATCACAATTAGAACTTATCTTCATACTAAAAGATAATTTAAATGTTCTTTGGAAATTAATTTATTGACCGCAGACACAGAAAATCAATTGAGAATCAGATTATCGTTTAATTGTTATCAACCTCATTTTCTTCAAATTTAAATATCGATTCACCACCACCACCAATCATTGCGAGAACCTCTTGGAACATGGAGAAATCACCACAGAATAACACCAAATGGAAATAACTTATTCAGGTAAGAAAAAATCAACGAAAATTAAATTTAATCTCTTTAAATAGTAAACAAAAGTTACTCGAATTTCTGTTTATATGATAGTTGAGTTTTCGACCAAAGGAGTCGCTTCAATCGAATTCTAATTATTTTGTTTACTTCATTAAATTTAATTTTCTCCTCAAGTTAATTTGTTTCTCTGTTTTAATTTTAGTTTTTTCACCTGTTAATTATATTTAATTTCTAATTTATAGTTATGCCGTACATCCAAAACTGGGAAGAATTCTCGAAAGCCGCTCAAGGATTATATCTTGACGATCCAATGAAATGTCGGTTTGTGCTTAAGTACCGACACAATGACGGAAAATTGGTCATCAAAATGACCGATAATCGAATCTGCCTAATGTATTCAGCGAAAAACCACCAAGAAGTTAAAAAGATTGAAAATTTTACAACTCAATTAATGAGAAACATGGCCACAAAATGATCTCAACAACAACAATCAAGCTAATCATCAATCAATCATTCCTAATTATGTTTACAAAGTATTCAATCAAAAAGTTGACATGAAAGTTGTCCATCAATTTGATGAAAACTTGAACATGAAGACAATTAATAATCTTCTCTGATTGTTGATGTAATTTGGGAAAAAGAAATTAATTAAATAAATTGATATAAATTACTCTCAATTAACAATCGTTAAAATATATACACATAATGTTCAAATTATTGCCGTTAACTTGTAATTAAATAACATCTAATTCTGTATAACTATAAATCCAAATTGCGAAAGAAAATTCAATCAGCTTGATTATTCAATGATTGATCATATTGATTCAATTAAGAGTTAATTTAGTTGTAAATTAAATTTAATTGCAAATGAGTGAAGAGAAAGAAGAAAAAAAGTAAAATTAATCTTCAACAATTTGGTAATTTTTTTACATAATCAACTTTCTAGTGGTAAGAAAAATTAACAATTTCAATTAGTTGTTAATCACCGGCATGATAATCAAAACTCTCATCGTTAAATTGCAAAACCTTGACAATTTAATTTCTTACAAATTAGTTACACTCACTAATCACATTTGATTGGTAAGGATAATAAAGTTAATTCAACATAGAAAAAAAAACTTTTTCTCTTCCAATTCAATTCAATTCCATTCAATTCTCATCACATCAATTTCGGGAATAAACCCAGTAAATTATAATCACCTTATGGATTATGTACCTGAAGTAATTAGCATCGGATAACCTGAGAAAATTGTCTTGAAATAACAAGAGAAACAGTGGACCTCGTGTTAATTAGGCTCTGAATCTGCAACTCTTAATTGCCACACCAAATGAACGAGTTTCTTGTGAGAAATTTCAAAATTATCTAATCAGTAATTGAGAGACACTAGATGGCGACGATGAAGTGAATTGTTGTGATAGAATTTTAGTTGAAATGAGCTCCAATAGATGGAGCTTCAAGCGAACGTGAGATTATCATGATAACCTGAATCAATTGGAATATTGTATAAAAATATAAACTCAGTTGATTCGAATGAAAGAGAAATTCATTGTACGCAATCGTAACTAGATAGGATATACTGATATGAGAACTGGGTAGAGAATTGAAAGAGAAGAGAGAGAGAAAGAGAAAGAGAAAGAGAAAGAGAAAGAGAAGAGAGAGAGAGAGTTAGTGAGAGAGAGATGTTGGTGTTTCTCAATCTTCACTCATCAGTATGAGACTATTTCATTTCAAGTGAGTTTTCAACTCAGTTCAAGTTAAAGTTTCATCCTCTTTTTTTTCCATCCTTTTCCTTATTTGCACACACACACACTCACTCACTCACACCAGTCTCTCTCTCTCTCTCTCTCATTCACACACAAACAATTAACACGATTAATACTCATTGACTTTATATTTTTGATAGATTCCACTTCCCTCACTGCCTCATCTAATCATCATCTTAATCAACCTTATCATCATTGTCATTATCACCAGAGTGAATAAGAGAGTGAGAGAAAACATCTTAGTTAACCTTGATAACACGATAATCATAATAAGCCAACAATTAACTAACCAACTTTGAAATAAACAAAAAAGTTTCATCAAAAGAAAAAACCTAATGACAAAAATTACGATTAAAAAAACAATTATCAAGAATATACATTTAATTGTTATGTTTAATTACTAATTAATAAACAAGTAAAAAGCTGCGAAAGAAATTAAAAAGATTGATAATGACAACGATGATCATGATTTTGATGACAATGAAAATTTAATTATAATCTTAAAGTGAACAATTAAATATTTCATCTCAGAACTTTCTGATAGAGTCGAAAGAGAAGAAGAAAAAAAAATTCTAATAATAAAACAGTTACTAAATTAGAAGAAGAAAACAAAGTGAGCTTTTTTTACTTCTCCTCTCTCTCTCTCTCTCTCTCTTCTAATATCAAAACCTCTCCCGTCGAACCTCCTCCTCCTCCTCCCACCACCGAACTCACTCTATCCTTTTTATCATCCAATTCTCTCTCTCTCCGAAAATAATTTCTCTCTTTTTTTTTCATATATTCAGTTCCAACATGATGAAAGTTACCATGACTTGATCACTTTGTACCTTGTGAAAGTTATATATACACATATATACATATATTAATAAAGAGTTTTGGAAAAACAATTAACCTTATTAAGTTTTGTTATTAATATAATTGTTTATTTAATTATAAGCAATTAAGTTTTGTGTCAATCCATCATCAATCTAATCTTCATCATCAACTTGAACATCACCAAATCATCATCATCACAATTAATCTCACTCACTCACTCACTCACTCTCTCTCTCTCTCTCTCTCTCTCTCTCTCTCAATCATCTTTATATTTTAATTTTCTTTCGTTGATTAACTTGTTTAACTCTCAACAACATCAACAATCAACAATCAACTTCCACTTTTCTTATGAAACCAACAACAACAACAACACACCAACAATTAATATATTAAATTACAACAAATTAACCATTGAATTGATATTATATCAATTGATCCAGGAGAAGAAAAAAAAAGGAAATACAATAAAAGGAAATTGGATTAAAGGTTAAGTGATATTCTAATTTAATAATAATAACAATTAATTTTCAACCTTCAGAATCAGTGTAATCATCTTTGGTCATTATTTGGTCAACATCAATATCAATTATATAACGAAAGTGTCTCTCTCTTGATAACTTTTGTTTACTATCAACATCACTGTTTGTAAACAAATACAAATACACAGAAAGTGAGAGAGGGACTTCAAGTGATTAATCAAATTAAATAAATACAACAACAACAACAACAACAACAACAATCTATGGAAGATTAATTGTTTTGTCAAACTGATCAACACCAATTCATCATTGATAGATGAACATTAAAATTATTTGCTTGAAAGATTTAATATCTTGAATGAACATAATTACACCTCTGCAAATCCTCCTGGTTAATCAGCAACAATCAACATCATTAGTAATCAACGTTCATCATCAACACCCATGTAGTTACACACAAATAGTGAGAGAGAGGGAGAGTGAGAGAGAAAGTGAAAGAAAACATAGAATTTAAATCAATTTGGAAATTTATCAACGAAAAATCGAACAAAAACAAACTCGATAAGAATAAAATAATAATTTTCTCTTCAGTTTTTTCTATCCCAATGTTATCATGTTCGTGTGTGTGTCTCGGTGTTGGTGTCAGGGTTGAGAAAGTGAAAGGAAGGAAATAGGAAGGAAAAAGAAGAAGAAAAATTTCAAAGTAAAACCAAAGTGAAATTTCATCTCGATTCTCATCATCCTCATCCTTAGAATCTTCATCTTCATCTTGATCATCATCATCATTGAATTTCAACCAAACAACGAGATTGAGGAAACTTTTGAGAGAAAAATAAAATTACTCTCTCTTTCTCTTTCTCTCTCCAATAATATTTTACTATCATCATCATTATCATTATCATCAATATCTAGAAGAGTAAAATGAATCAACTGGAAATCATTGGAAGAAAAAATCAATCATGATAAGTAGTAGCATCTGAAAGTCACAAGCAGAAAGATATTGATTTAATTTGGTTGCAAGAGAAAAGGCAAAAATAATAACAGAAAGAGAGAAACAAACAAACAAAAAAGATGAAGAGATGATGATAAAGATGAAGATGGAAAGTGAAATTCAACCTCTTCATCCTCCATTCATCTTGTTGATCAATTGTTAGCATCTCTCTCTCTCTCTTTCTCTCTCAACCTTTACAACCACCTACACCTCCTTGTCTTGCTCATCATCAAATTATCAACATCATCATCAAGCTACTGTTAATATTGAATCATGTCAACAGAGCCAAAAAATAATCACAATCAAAAAGTTTTCTTCATCAATAATAATCATCATCAGTAATTGAATAAAACAAACACACCAACAGAAATTAAAAGTGTTCAATTCAAATTCAAGGAATCAGTTAATTAATCTCTATTAAGGTTTATAAATCATTATCATTATTAATTGTGATATATTGTCTGAGTGTTTTTATTATTATGGTGATGAAATTTTTTCCAAGTTAATTGTGACAATTTAACGTCTTTTTTTTTGCTGGTGATGACTAAAGAAAATGTGATTTCCAGTTAATCCTTAATGATGAATACATGATGATTACACCATCATTTGATTTCTATTATAATTTAAGTGTAATCATCTGGAATCCTGGTTATCTATTAATTACCAGTCCACCCACAACAACAATTAAACGTTTTCTATTAAATTCAATACCATCATCATCATCATCAACAACAACAATTGTATCATCTTTGTTAATATTATTACCTCTTACAATTAAATCACCAATAAATCAACTGCAACCAAAACTGATTGAAAATCACCACCAATTGATATTAACACAGCAACAATTTACCTCTTCATCTTTATCCCCTGAATCCTCAATATCAGTGAAAAAATCATTATCATCATCATACAGAGAAAGAGGTAATAATCATCATCATCATCATCTCCATCTCCATCATCATCCTGAAACAAATCTAATTGATAAAATCTCTAGCATTTCATTATTATCCAATTTTTCAAATTTTTCGTTACGTTGGTTAACCAAACCAATAACAATAATAATGGCTGACTATTCATCGGCTTTATCATCTGTTAACGCTGTTGCAGCTTCAGCAGCCATGGCAGCATTCACATCATCAATTTCCTCTTCCTTTCCCGGTGCTGGGATAAGTAATAGTAACAGTATCGGCAATGGGTCACCGATAACCAGGGTAACCTCATCAGTTTTAAATTCAAGTGATTCGGGTTACGGGTCACCCAGTGATACCTTAATTACCTGGCAAGAGGTGACAATTTTATTATTAAAGATAATAAGCTGTGGAAGTATAATATTAATGGCAATTTTTGGTAATTTATTGATTATTATAAGTGTTTATCGTCATCAACGATTACGAATAACAACCAATTATTTTGTTGTCTCGTTAGCCTGTGCCGATATCCTTGTCGCTCTTTTTGCCATGACCTTTAAAGCCTCCGTAGCGATAACTGGCCGCTGGTTTTTGGGTAAATTGGTTTGTGACTTTTGGAATTCCTGTGATGTACTTTTCTCAACGGCTTCAATAATGCACCTTTGCTGTATCTCGGTTGACAGATACTATGCCATCATTAAACCGTTAGATTATCCAATGAAAATAACCAATCGTGCGGTGGCCATAATGTTAGCCGTTGTTTGGATAAGCTCAACTTTAATCTCATTTGTACCCATTTTCACTGGACTTTATACCACAAGTGAACACATGATCTATCAACAATCCCATCCGGATGAGTGCTCATTCAAAGTTAATCTACCCTATTCATTAATATCATCATCCGTCTCATTCTGGATTCCCTGTACTGTGATGTTGTTTACCTATTGGAGGATTTATGTTGAAGCAACTAAACAGGAAAAAATGTTATATAAACACACCCAAATGATACCCAAAGTCCAACAAACTCATCATCATCATCATCATCATCACCATCATAAGCATCATTATAATACATCATCATCTCATCATAGCCAACAACAACAACAATTACATACTCAAACAACAAATTATTCAACAGGGCCCAGTGTGGGTGGGGGAGGTACAACCAATAATAATAACACTGCTAATAACAATAATAATAAGGATAATAATATTGTGACTTGTGGGATTGGTACAAATCCCTGTGCTACAACAACAACAACCGCCGCCGCCGCCGCGGCCGTGGCCACAACGACAACAACGGCGACAGCAACAACAACACTTACTAATACCAATGATACTGGTAATGGTTCCTCATCATCAGGATCTCATATAACGGTACATGCACCACCTCATCGTAATTCACACGGCGATGATACTGAAAGTGGACAATCAACACCAACCAAACGTTGTATTAATAAAATGAAACGTGAACATAAAGCAGCTAAAACCCTTGGTATCATCATGGGTGCTTTTATCGCCTGTTGGTTACCCTTTTTTGTTACATATGTTACTCTATCAGTGTGTGGTGATTCTTGTGTTGATTTTCCAGATATTGTGGTGGACACACTTTTCTGGGTGGGTTATTTTAATTCTGCCATTAATCCAGTAATCTATGCTTATTTTAATCGGGAATTTCGTGAAGCCTTCAAGGAGACCATACAAAATGTTTTCTGTTGCTGTCTTCAAGTTGAATGTTTACAAGGTCCAAGGAATAATTCATCGATACACTTTAATTGTACCTACAGGTCAACCCAAGATATTGGCCTGGTCGAAAATAAGTATGTAAAAGATTGACAAATGGTGTAAAAGAAAAACAGAAAAAGAAACCCTTCCATCACCCTTGACCTCTCCAAACTGACCACTACTCTCTCTCTCTCCCTCTCTCCCAGAAAAAGACACAAACACCAACAGCTAACTACGACTAAAAACAAGCTGAAAACTTATACATATAAATGAATATATACAAATATATATATATTATAGTTATTAATAAAATATTATATAATTAAATACGATTATCAAAAAGTTATATTTCTATTGATTACAATTTAAATTGATCGTAACTTTTATTGGCGCGACTTTGATTGTTATTCAAATTTACCATGTAAATGATGAGATTGGATCATTTGGATTATCCTTTTGGTTTGTTTTGCTATTTTTTTTTGTTCAAAGTTAATTATCGTTGATTTGGTTTGTTTGATTGTTGATTATTGATTAGCTGAAATTGAATGATTATCGTCTTCTGGCAATCAAAGTTAACATTTTCTCACAACATTTGATAAATTGTCAAATTTATCAACTTGAACGTTTAACTTATATTATTATCATCATTATCTTCATTGGTAATCTTATTATTAATATCTCTCTGTCACTTTCAACCCAATCAAATCAATCACAATCAGCATGATGATGATGAAACGATAGGGAATCAGTTTCATTGATTGAGATTGAAATTGAAATTTATAAACAACAAGAGTACAAAATAAAAAATCTCATACTAATTAATAGGAAAAAAAAGGGAAAGTTAATTAAAAGAAGGACAAATAATTAAGATTTCAAGTGATTATTTAGTTTCTCATTTACGATTATGATGATGAATTGATGAATGACCATCAACAAGAATCATTATAATCGTTGAAACAATCAAGACCACAACTTTGTTTCTATTGAATCTTAATTTTTTTTCATATTTTCTTTTGTCTTAATTTGCAATTTCATCTTGATTGTTGTTGCTAATAGTTTCATTTACACTCAATTTCAATTTCAATTTAATCAAATGAGAATCAGAATCAAACGATAACCTTGCATTGTTGATTAATCACTAACCTCGAGTGTGTAAGTGAAACTTTTTAACAACAATCAAGATATCAAATTATAAGAAACTTTAATTGTTTTCTCTTGCTATTTAAAATTACTTTATCATTGAATTTTTAAATTAAACTCTTCCAGTTTTCTCACAAGTTTCATATAAACATATACACAACAATTAACAACAATTAAGGTGAAATAATGATAATTATAACTTGGAAACATTGTTTTTCTTTGTTATAATTCACCTTGTTTCAGTTTTGGTGAGAAATAAATATTATAAATTAATATTTCTCCAACGAGGATTAAAGCTGAATTAAAATTCTGATTAAGTTTCATTTTCAGAAGAATGAACTTTTCACAGATTAAAATTAATTCATGAATTCATGTTTCAAGATGGGTTTAAGAGTGGGAAAAATAATCTCTCAGGAAATTATCTCAGGGTTAAGCCATTTAAAGCTAAGCTGAATATAGAAAATTGAGAAAAAAAAGAAAAACTTTTCGAGCCAAAATTCAATTCAACTGAACTAAATTCATCGATTATTCTGAGAAATTATATTCTTATCACTCAGACTCATCTTTGGCTCTCTACTCACCGTCATTCATATTGTTTCAAACTTTTTCATTCAAAATTTGAGATTTTAAATCTTTATCGAAGCGAAAAAGTTCAATCAAATGTTAGTAAACTTGTTAATTCAGTTGTGATTAGTTGAAACTTTCATGAGAATATTTTTCCATTCAAAATTTTATCGCAGTTTACCAAGTAATTAACCTTTTCTCCGTAAATGCTGAATATTCAATTGGAAGATGTGAGTAGACCTTTCGATTGAAAATCTATTTCGAAAGTGAAATCGAGGTCTATTTTAGGTCAATGGTCCTCGAAAAAGTCTCGAGAAAAGTGTTTTCCATGTTAACTTTACGAAGAAAGTGAGAGGAAAAACTACTTTTACTTTCGTTAATTAAACACATTGATGAGGTTTTCGAGTGAGCGAGAGAGAGAGAGAGAGAGAGAGAAAAGTCGTTGGAACTGTTCAATATTCTTGAGAGTTAAATACACACAATTTAACATTATCTTTCCTCGAATCAACCTCGATTTTGTCCCAATTTCTATTCGACAACTCATATTACATTGGCCATTGTAAGTGCTCACCCTAAGGAATAGATGATGAGATTTATAAATATTCAATTCTACTTATTATTATTATATCGATCGGATAAAAGAAGGAAGAAAAAAAAAGAGATGATAAAATAATTCCAAGATATAACACAAAAGGATAACATGAATTAGATTGCAATTGAGATTATAATGAAAGATGATGATAAGACTTGATCATCATCTCCCTCTCTTTTTTTTCCTGTTATCATCATCTAAAAATAATTAGATAAAAATTGTATCACTAATCAAATTTGTATTTATCATGAAAATGAACGTGTTTTATCTGGTAAAAATCATATTCAGTCCTGGAATGAACATGATTAATCTAATCAACTTGATAATAATGATGATAATAATTAAATCTTCATCACTATGAGAGTTAATTGGGAGGAAATGTAATAATTATTAATACTTTCGTTACAGAGAAAGAAAGAAGCAAAGAAGAAGAAGAAGAAAAAACAATACTGAATACTCATCATTCTTGGAATAATCATTTTTCTCACGAATATCATCATGAATTTCAACTTGAGGTTTGCAACTTAGAAAAGAATAAAGAACTTGCCTTAAGTCACATTTTCTACAGATAATAACCAATAGATTGGTAATAGAAGATCAATTTCACCTTTTGCGATTTCGCTCCTTTCAGTTCTCATCAAGTTTCTCGATTCTCATAATATCATATATTATATATAGATCATAATTCCAATAAATATGACATCCCTTCAGTTTCTCAATGAGAGTTCAAGTTTTGTTCATTTCTATTCAATTTAAATACCAATAATCATAATCGATTCTGGTTAATAATGTCATCATACCTTTTTGAATTCAAAATTCAATCATTCTTTATCCATCCCTGTCATCATCTATTCATCTCTCTCTCTCTCTACTAACAAGAATACTCCTTTCAGAATATCTTGAAATATCCAATCACCATGATAACTGTTATCGTATCACAATGAAAGTATTATTTTGAAATTCGAAATAACCAAAATTCTCAATGTAAAGTTGGAAACTTGTAAGACAAAATTACACCAATCATTTAAGAGAACCTAATGTAAGAATTTGAGAGAAAAGTTGAAGTGATAAATTGATTGTTCACTCAGAGAAATACAAGAGATGAACGAATGATTTTTTCATGATCTTAATCGACTTTCGTCATACCAATATAATGGTAGAAATAGATTATACTTTTACTCGGAATCTCTCTCTCTCTCTCTCTCTCTCTGCTTCTTCTTATTATTCTTATTCCGTTTTATTTAAATTCTTATCAATCCTTAAAAGTTTCCAACCAGAATTGTAACATAACAGTTGAAGTAAAATCTTTATACTGAAACTTTTTCTTCCTATTATCACGTTGAGTGTGAAAATCTTTGTTTCAATCCATTGGAAATTAGCTTCGTTTCTTTTTTATCTTGGTGAAAAATCAACTCTCCAACTAATAGTTTCAATCAATCGATCATTTATCATCACAATCTTCATCTCGATTCATTTCCCATTCCACCTTATTGTTCATTGCACCTTGAAATCCACACACAACCAACTCACTACAATTCCCAATCTCTTTGTCAACCTTTCTATTTAAACTTCACTGTCTCAATTCATTTTGTAAATTCAACTTGAACCCCATGGGAAATTCATTAAAATAACCACTTTTACCGCTCTTTTTTCATCATTCCTCCCAGAATTTACACTCAGAAAGATTTCCAAACTCTCTCTCTCTCTCTCTCTCACCCAATATCATGTTAATCAAAGATATTCACACTACTATCTTTCTCATTGATTTCAGTTCATTGTTATCATTTGTGTCTTCATCCAGTCATCCATAATTTCAGTTCTCTCCATGATATCAGCTCCAATATTATCTATTATATGATAGTAATCATCCTACAATTAGATGATAAAATCAAAGTCAATATTTAAGTCATCGTTTGTCATCATTTTATTATAGTCATTATCTTAACCATAATAGTGAACATCTTATCATTTTTTTGTTATTATTAGAACATTGAATGAAGATAATATGAGAAAAGGTTAATCAATTGGTTTAGAAATGAAAAATCTTGATATATCATAATGAACTGAGATTTTCATCTCAGTTTATCTTTAAGTTATCTCTTATTATTATCGATAATATAAGTTGATGGGACGAAAAATGGTAAAATGATAATCTCCAAGTTACTCTTCATCTTTAACTTTTCTCATTAACAGAAAACGGAATCAAATCTTCATCTCTCCTCATGGCTCATCATCATCATCATTGTTTCCTTTAGTCATGATAAACTGACCATGAATACACTCAAATCTTAAACCTTCCCTTAAGATGAAGATGGTAAAGATTGATAAACATTTTTGAAAGCCATTTCCTCATCATTTTTAAGATTATGTCTCCATCTAAATTGTATTCTTGTTAATCTTGGTGACAGATAATTAGTCAATAATCTGAATCACTTGAAATAAGACTTGATAATTAAACACCTTGATGAACAAACACTTACAACCCAATCTAATTTATAACCAGAATCTCATCATCATGAATTATTCAAAGATGATGAGATTGATTATACTTTTAACACAACTCATCATGATGATGATGATCATCATGAAAATCATTCATTATCATGTATAATTAAAATTGTACAATCTTCTTGAATCCCTGATAATTCATCATGCAAACCTGATTACATGTTTCATCAACTCAATAATTATTATCGTATTACCTATTGGTAAGTTTGTTTGAAAATGTTACTAAATCGTATCATTAATATCATGGTATTCACCTTGGAAATGAATTTTTGTTCAATATCATGGAACATGAAAATCTCTAATCAATAATCATAAGCAATCAAATTCTATTGTGAGTATAATCATCATCACCGTTTCTAGCAATTAGCTGATTGTTGAGAGTGGAAATGTTGTTCAGACTATTGAGAATATAAGAGGAAGAAAGTGAAAAGAAAAAAAAAAAACATTTTATTCCATGTTGAAAGTTTTCTCTCTCTCTCTCCATCATCTCTTTCATTTCATCGTCTTATTTTCCAGGATGGAACTGAATTTTCTGCCTGGAA